CTACACTACATCTTTAAGAACTGTTATGTAGCCATAAAGCAGAGGTGGCCATGTATTGATTTCTGGGTAATGCAGGGAGACATCAGGAGCTGTAAATTCTGGAAGACGTGTCCCAACAGCAGTGATGCCTGGGCAGTGACAGTAGTTTCACAGCAACTGAGGATAGTGTGAGAGCAGCTTAGGAGCCTCCAGTGATCATAGCCTTTGGGTGATGAAGTGGCCGAGCTGAAGGCCAATCGCAAGGTGGAAGTGAGGTTTAAGTGAATAACGGGCCTGAGCATTAGTGAGTGATGTGGACAGGTGATACGCTCCAAGCAGGAGACCTCTTCATTAGCACTTGTATGACTCATAATTAATTCTTTCAGCATCGGTTTTACACAGCTCTCTGACAGTTTGTTTTCCTGTGAACATACAGTAATTTCTGTGAAGGGAGAGATGCTGTTCGATGATCCTCTTACCTATTTGCTTCACAGTGCAAAACTAGATTGAGGCCATTAATATTCTAAGGTGCCAGTACCATCTGTCTCCTGTCAGGGTTTGGAAACTGGTGGAGGAGCCGCATCACAAAACACACCTTAAGCTCAATAATCAGTAAAATTTCATGCCAAACATGCTCTATTTAAATCTTAAATCTTAAATTCTTTTGATCCCATATGTGATTTAAGATTGAGTTTGTAGCACATCACATCAATGAATAAAACAGAATAAACATCCTCTGAAAAACAATCCAGAATGCATTAGTCTGACAACTCTGTGACACTGCTAAGTAAACAAAACACAAACTGGCAGCTTTTCTGCCCCTAAAGCTAAAAGACACATAGTACAGAGAACTAGCAGCCTAAGAGCAAACACACATATACTGTATGCAGCGAGGGCAACCCGAACATAGCGCCTGTTTGTTAGTGAATGAATGGAAGCATTGAAAACTGAACGTTTCTTGTCCCAGTATAGCAGCGACAAAGGAAAACAGCAAGTGCAAGTTGTTGAGTTTACGAATTGTGCCTGTCTCAGAGCTGAACAACTGGAGCTCATGAATATTAGGTATGCATCCAGTTTAGACAATCCAGGCAGGTAATATGGGAATACACAGACTATCATTTTAATCTATTTAAGAAAAACCAGAAAAGATAGATGCTTGAAAAGGCCTTTGTGCGTCAGATGTACTTGAAAGGCTCATCTTGAAAGGCTGTAAATGGACAGATGATGATGTCATATCACCGCACACAGATACTTTGGTCTCCAAGTGAAACAGCTCATCTGCGTACTGATTGGCTGATCCACCGCAGGAGGGGGAGGGGGGTTTTCTCTCCCTCTCGATTCAGGATTAATCCCTCATACTTAAGTTCCTGTTTTTCCTCTCTCTCACATAACTTGTGTCAAAACAACAATTATTCTCACTGGAGTAATGTCATGCAGTACTGTGAATAGGACGATTTAATAGAGTGTATTCACAGTAGAAGATGATGAGGTGTAAAGCATTACCGAGGTGTGTTCCGCTTAGGTTTTAAGTAATCTTATTACCAAAGCACTTAGGTGGCTTGTTCTGCTCAAAGTTCAATAAATTAGCATTATGCACGCCTTAATTGTTTAAGTTGATTTCCTCAAGAGCTCTTTTATTCCTCAAGTCTCTTCCCTTGTAGCTCTGCCATTTGTTTTCCTATTGGCCTGACCTCTGCACTGACTGAGTGCCCTCTGCAGTGAAACACAATGCCACTCGCTTCTGTCACAGTCATGTCTGGGCCCTACAGGTGACTAGCTGTCTGCCTGTGTTCATCTCCTCTGGGACAGCTGGAGCCATCAATCAGCTCCCCCCCTGAGCCTTGTTGTGTTGGTCTGCCCAGCCTCACCACCGCCGCAACAACAACAACAACAACAACAACAACAGACTGTCTCATCTAGTCTGTCGCTCCTCCAGGGGACATTTGTCGACTTCGACTAACACAAATGTTGTTGTGAATTTATTCCTTGCTTATTTCCGGGCTTCCCAGAGAAGCTTTGTAAATCTCAGCTGCCATTCTCCTGCTGTGTATGCTTTTTTGAATCGTGCCTGTTTGTGGACAGCTTTGGCATTTTCATTCCTGAGCCCTGGTCTTTACCTTAGTAGTAGTTTTATGATGCCTCTGATGGCCATAAATTGATACATTGTTAGGTCCACTCTACACAGCACGTGCAGTCGCAGGCTTTTCTCCATTCGCAGATGGAACACATTGACGCCCATTATTGCGCTCTTGAAGGGGCGTCTTCCACCGTGAACTCTTTGGCACACTTTTAAAGAGAGTGACCATAATGTATTCAGGCCTGATCCACAGTGGCTTTGGCACTGTGGCTACCATCCCCCCAACCTACATACACAGCTCTTTTTCTTAGAAGAGAGGGTAAGCATGTGTGAGTTGCAGTGTTCCCTGGAACTTTTCTCTGTTTATCAAAGAGGGAACTGATGGGTCTGACAGGGAACTTCAAAGGGCAACATAAAAAGCACTAGTTCCACCATCAAGACGTTTCCTGTTTATTTCAGGAGAAATTCATGAAGGACACTCATCACAGACCAGAAAAGCAACACAAGAACTCACAGCAACTTTTTTATGCGACTCAGATTTGATGTTACATAAAGTAACTGTCGAAACAACATTATGAACCTGTGTCAGTGATCTGATGTTTGCCAGTGTTGCTACTATAATTAAGCTCTCAGATGTGGCAGAGTGAGCAAGAATGTCTCCTGGGGGCTCTTGGGGACTTGTCAGACAGAGGACTAGTTGTTAATTTTTTTTAACCCAGTAATGGCTGTGATTGCTGCTGCTGCTCATGTGACTGTCTGTGCTTTCCCCCTGGGCCGTGGATGGCTCATTGTTGTGTCTTAAAGAGCTGCAGGGCGACAGGGAAGCTAATTGGGTGGAGTCTGTCTGGACATTCAGACTCCCAGGCTCACACTGGAGCATTAAAGTGTCACACCCTCACCTACTCTATTGCACACCTTGGACACATGAAAACAAAAACAAAGCCATAGGCAGTATTGTTGTTACAACATGTGCTACCTGATCAGGTAGAACAACAAATGATTTACCTTTCATTTATTTCTTTTTCTCACCTTCAAGGTAAGTGATTAGCTGTGAGCAATTTATCCAGTATAGGTTTTACTTCTCAGACTGTCTTATTTTAGATATCTAAAGTAGTAAAAATATCCATTATTTCACAGTAAGTGTAATGAAATTACAGAAAACTCAAACATGTTTCTTTTTTTTCCCATGTCCCTTAAGTCATATCATTATTCCTCACTGATACCTAGGTTGGAAATCAGTTCTTCATACCTTCCTCTACTTCTTCCATTTCTTCTAGTTGCACTAACAGCAATGCGAAGACAGCGATAATACTTTAAATGTGCCCTTCCCTTCTCGGCTTAATGATAGTATCAGTATGACCAGTAACAATACAGTAATAGTGATCTTGAAACTTAGCAGGAAACTTGTCTGGGTTTGAACCAAGGAAGAGAGGGAGAGAGAGGTATACAGTATAGATGTATACTTATATCTATCATGTAAATGTCATCTATAGATGACATTTACATGATAGTCAGTACAATACTCACTCTCCTGTTTACAGAGTTTTCATTATTTGTAAACTAAACGTATTTTCATTTAGAAACAAAAACACACTGGGCCCAACAGACCAGTAAGGTGACTGTTGTCTTTCAGGTTGATGTGTTTGTTTTACTTCTGAGGGTGACACCTTAAATGTGGCCCTCAGGCTAAACAGGTTAGCGAGAAAGTGACCCACTATTAGCAGGAGACAATTAGCAAAGCTCTATGCACCCAGCAATAGGAGACCGCTCCCCAGATATCTGACACAAGATTGTACTGACTTAGTGTTCAGGTCTAGCTGAAAGTGACAGCAAAACTTCTCAGTGTTCTCACTAGACTTGAAAATGCTTGAGGGGAGGGAATGGTATGTGTGTGACACTGCTGCTGACTGATCCCATCAGCGACTGTGAGTGAACACTGTGGAATTTCAAGCATTAAAAGCGCTGATATGAAGTCATTAATGTCAGTGTGAAAACTCATGCTTGAACTTAGGTTCAGGGTCACATAACTCCTCAAAGGAATAGCAAATGCCATTTTTGCAATTTGGACAGAAGAAACAAATGAGATATAACATGTTAATCTGTGACCATTAGAGGCTTTTGTTAGCACAGTTTTCTCTATTTACAGAGCTTCTTTTAAGCTAACCAGCTGCTACAAATGTGAAGAATCAGCCAAAAGAACATCTTCCACGTGTAAAATGTCAACTTTAATTCCCAAAAAGTTGCTTAAAAACGGGTTCCCTATAAATACAGATAGCCTAATTATCCTCAGCTAGGTAACAAACTCATGACTCTATATCCATTTACTAGCATTTTCTGGAGCTTTTAACCATACCTTAGTCTTCCTCAGTGGGAAGCAAATAGTTCTAGGGCTGAGCAAACACTAATCTAGAGAATTGAGGGTTTTTTTTGTCAACCACTAGTTGACTGAACCGTCATCGTGGTGCCAAACTATTGAAGGCAGCAGATTTTATACCAGGTGATGTGCTATAAATCATTTTTAAGAATGTAGCTATGATAGTTTGTTATTGTAAAAGTGGTTGTTTCCTCTAAAGCCATCTATCACTTCTGTGTTAGAGGAAAAAGAAAGTGAGTCACAACTTCATGCAACTCAGTCAGTGTTTTCCTTTAATTGGAAATAAGCCACACCACAGCATTACAGCACCTCCCACGCCACTATGAGAAATGATGTCTAATGATAATCATGTACAGAATATATTACCAGGCACTATTAGCAGATACCCTATATTTAAAGTATGCTCCAAATGTTCACTTTTAGTTCAGTTTCTAAATTGAGACTTTTAGCCTGCCTGTCCGTCACCAGAGGGTGATTCTATATAGCTCTTCAGTGTTTAGCTGTGATATTTTATTATCCGTTGTAGGCTTACATCAGATGACCATATGTATCCTATTCTCTTCTGCAGGTAGTGGAGTAACATAGGAGGGCAGGCAGGAAACGGCGTGGGCAGCCTCCCTGTGTCACAGCCTACGTCAGACTAAACGCCAGGAGGGAGTTTTCCACTGACAGAAAAGGCTGCGCTTCTCGGCAGACGGCTACAGACAAGGGAAGCGCTTCAGCTGCGGCGGGTCTCCGTATGGCAGCGAGAGAGACAGACAATAGCAGTGAGAGCTGTGTATATGCGGGAATAAGCGCTGTATTTATTTGTGGCATTTGGATTACTTACACCTTTATCCCATCGGCTGTTTACCTGACGCCACTTTGTCACTGATGGTGATCGTATACTTGAATTTGTGGTGAGTACAACCGGCATCTGGAGTTCGCTGTTGGCTTATTGAACACCGCACATTGTAATAGTTAAAAGGGGCTATTCTCTCCTGTGTGCCGGAGTCATTTAAATAGCCCAGACTATTTGTGTAGCCGTGTATGAAAATGCTACTACAGATGAACCTTGGCTTTCTTTTAAAGCGCACTTTACATTGAGTCATGTTCGCTGGACTAGAAGCTTTATTATAAAAACTGACACGGTTGGCTGCTTGTTAAAGTGGTTTTTAACGAACTAGCTTCATGGCTAATTCACACACAGGTGCTCACAATCTGATAATGACAAAACTAATTTGATTTAGGCGAGACTCCAACAATTCCCTTTATTGATTTATAGGCTGTGTATTGACCGCTGATTAGCCTATTCAGGTTCGTTTAAACTTCGTAGCTCACACCAGAGGGGGTGTACTTTAGAAAGCAACGCGTTTTGGGATGTGGATTCATTTATGTGAACTGCTGATGAGGTGGGCTTTGTGTATTCAGCCCGTGTGGAGTTGTCCTTGTTCACCTCAGCGCCGCTGGTGCGCCTCTTGTAACTAGAGCGACTCCTGAAGGCGCTACGTCGGCGCACACAGCTGACAGGGCTGCTGTCACTGGAATTAGCATTAATTGAGAAATGATCGGGTCAGCACGGAAAGAAGACGACGTGTACGTTCGGACAGATTTAGTGATTGATTTTTGATTTGATTTTGAATTTTAAAAATTTAATCGTAGTCTATCCATGCAGATAAGTTGCCACAGGCTGTGCGCTACTGCTCCGTTTATTGTTAGGACAATTTTTTTCATAGCTGCATATATTTCCTTGTCATAGTCAATCAATGTAACATGATAAATGGCCAGGGTTTGTGCTAATTTCATCACATCTAAGCCACCAGCGTTTCTTTTTACAGTGATGAAGCTGGTGTGATCAAAGGGCTGCCAATGGGCTAATCATTTTCAGGTAGACGTTTTACTGTGGGGCTCTTATCTTATAAAGCCACACTGTATCTGCCCTTGATAAAGCGACTGAATCAATTTCATCGTCTCTAGTGCGACCTCATCCGGATCCTTTCTGGAATTGGGCTACACAGAGCTGAATGATCCTTTGTTTACAGAGATGGAACATAGCACTTGATGCTGTGCATTAGTGCATTCCCAAGGAATTTGCAGTGGTGTTAAATAACTGTCCACTTGTATAACATAATTTTTCCATTTTATCTCATGTTTTACACCCAGAGAAAATGATAATTAACCCGTTTGTCCCTTCATGAAAATGAAGTTAAATGACATCAAGACAACAAAAGCTCTGTGCAATATTTAGAGGTATTTCAACTGTGACAAATACCATCCATACCTCCTGACTCCCTTCTCTCCATCATGTGGTCCTTTACTCAGCTAACCTTGTGGTGCCTGCAGCTGTTAAACAGCATAGATGATCTGCATGGCCACTTCCTGTGCACTGCAGCGTATGTTTCACAACCTCAGGAAGCTCACGCACACTTTTACTATCTGCCTACCCAGCTGGGAGAGGTAGCAGCAGTCTCGGTCATGCAGGATGGCCCCATGCTTTTGTAGCTGGAGGCGAGTATGTGTGTGGGGGAGGGTGGGGTGCAAGGAGTCTGCTGATGGTCTCCCACACAGCAGCGGAGAGCTCCCATCTGCTTTGTCCTCTCCCAGCATTCCATACTGCAAGTGTCCCAGACTATAGTATGACCCCTGAACCTACAAGCACCTCCTCCCTTCCTCTTCTCCACACGCTCACTAGCCAAGCCTGCATGTTTGTTATTGGTAGACTGTTGTGCAAAGGATTTTTTTTTTTTTTTTTTGCTGCTTTTACACACTGCATATTTTCAGCTTCTGATCGATGCAAATCTGTCAGAGGAACAAAAATAGCTACTACTTATCATTTTCTGCATAGTATTAAATTATTCTATGCCAGTCTATCAATGCTTGGAGTACTGTTTTTGGCAGCAAGGAGGAAAGAATGAGAGTTTATGCATAGTTTAACTCCAGAACTTTAAAGACCAACACTCGAGTTAGAAACCTTGGTGTCATAATTGACTGCGATCTGAGCTTTAGCATGCCAAGGCTATGTCAGTGTTTTATCATCTCAAACAAATAGTGCAGCTTAAGAGGTTTTAGAAAGGTTTAGAGAAACTCATTCATGCCTCATCTACACCAGGCTGGACTGCTGTAACAATCTTTTGTCTGGTCTTCACATACAGGCTGTGAGGCAACCTCAGCTCATTCCACATGCAGCTGCCAGTTTTATTAAGAATCAGAAGAACTGAACACATCACCCCTCTTCTTAAATCCTTACATAGGTAAATTTCTGGTCTTGAGGAATACAAATGCATCAGGGCACTTAGATTTTTAGGAAGCAATCAGCTGGTAGAACCTTCGGTCAGAACCAAACTGGAGGATGCTGCCTTTAGCTACTATGCTCCACACAGATGGAACAACATCCTGGTGACATTAAATGTCACCCAGCTTTAGCCACTTTCAAGTCTAAAATGAAGCCTCTGCTGTTTTCATGTGGCTTTTGACTGTTTAGTTTCTCTCTCTTGCTTCTCCTAGTTACTGCTAGACTTTTCTGAGGGATTATTATTATTATTATTATTAATAAAAAAAAATTTTGTTCTGTTTATGGTTAACATCATGAGTAAAATAACTCAAGTCAGTAAGCATATAGTCTGATTCCCACAGGCAGCACCTGGCCTGTGTAACAGATTAAAGACAGCTGAGGGCATGTGGGATGCACATGCAAGCTAATACCCTGTCAGGTGTGGCTAGGGAAGATAGCTTGCTCGGCTGCCTTATGAGAGCAAGACTTTACAGTGGTTAGCAGTAGAACATCTGGATTAGATAGAGCTTGTGTTCTTCTCCCAGTATTACAGCAGAAGTGGTGCTGCCAAAATGAAATTCCTGTGGCTTGGAGGCATGACATTTATTTATTTGTTTTATACAATCTTCCCACTACCTCTCCTTTTTGGAATCAGTGTGTGCACAGGTCGCAGCGGAGGAACAGAATGTCTCTGTGGTGCAGGCACAGTGAGTCCTTCAGAGAGAATAACAGGCTCACAGAGGAGAAAACAGGAGCTCTCCCTGCTTTGTTCCAGCAGGTGGAGCGCTTTTGAGTAACAGCTGAGTTTAAGAAATGAGCCAGTGTTTCCCCAGCTGTGCATGAGCTGGAATCCAGTTCGCTGTCTCCTTGACGGCTCTGATCAATTATCTCAGTTTTCTCAGTGACAGAGCAGGAAGTGGGAGGTGCAGTACCTTGAAGCCTGGAGAGGGACAGCCTGCCCAGACACGCTTCCATAAACACAGACTCACAGGCTCATCATTATCACATTTTATGAGCACTCAGCTTAGCCAGCCAGTCAGTCATTCAGATACTGAGCACAGTTGTAAGTGTGCCATGTAAATGCTCTTGGAGATTAGTGCAACTTGTCGCTCCCACTCACATTGCTATCAGCTGTGAAGGGGCTGGACAGGCAGTGCAAGGGGGCAAAGTCAACTGATAAGGCATGTAATGGTTAATGCTGGCTAGCAGTAGCATTGATTTTGTAAACCATGGAATTATTAATGAGACATAGTAGTAGGCAATATCTCTGCATATATTTAGATTTTTCTGGACACAAATGACTAGAATATTCTTGTTTTTCTTTCTGATTACATCTCTTGTCAAACAAATGCCATTTGCCAACTCTTCTGCCAAACTAGGAAAATTAGAGATGATAGTAGGGATTGTTCCACCACTTTCCACTATTTTTTGATTAGCTACTTGAAAGTGCAACTTGGAAATAAGTATGCCCAGTGAATCAGTTTGTAGAACAATGATGTTGGAACGCATTTTCCAAGAATAAATATGCACTACAATAAATGGAGGTTAAGGCAGCACTGTTCTAGTGTAGGCTTTTTGCTGACCTCAGATATGTTACATGAACACCATCACTGGGTCAACCTTTCTGCTTCCATTATGGCTCAACAAAAGTAAATGCATCCAGATGTAAAGGCACACTGAACATTTGTGTTGTATAAAAGACCCCTGCTATCCTGAGACTACAAATTACCATCAGCCATTGACAGGAAAAAATATTCAAATCCAAGAAATACTTTAATCCCAGTTTATTTTTTGTTGACACTCAACTGAATATTACATCTCAGGTTATGTTAAATGGCACATTTTACAAAATAGGTTAGCTAACATATTTAACATCATCCATTACATGGCTTTACTGTGTGTTTCCAAATGTGAAAGTTAGTCTTAGAAAATGAGGCTTACAGTGCACAGTTTACATTTTTGTTGAGCTGGATCTGTAAGTGGTAGCAGTAGGAGAAGCGGTTACCCTGGAACTGATGAAGCAGCTGTGTGTACTGAAGGAACCATACCAGCTGTCAGACTCTCATGATCCTACTAAAACATGCTATCATGAACTGCCATTATTCTGTATGACCGGGAACATATTCCTCCTGTGAGTGCCATGCACAACCATGTTTTTCAATACAGATGCAGCAGTGCACAAATGCACTCAAGGATGAAAGACTGCTTCTCTTCCTGTTAAGGAAACTGGATTTCATAGACAGAGGTGTGCAATTCACTACAATAAGAAATGATGAAATGCAAATCATGCAATGCAGTGGATAAAGACTAGCTCACTAAATATTAACTACCCCTGAAAACATCTACTTTTCCACTAAATTTCTGCTATTGTCTCTTATGTAAAACATAAACGGTCACATTAACATTTCAAATTATCATTCCCAGGAAATTCTAAGTACATTTTGTTTATAAAAAAAAAAAACTGCAATTGACACTTTAAGTGAGGGAATTGATCAAACATGCTTTTGTTTAACTTTCTGCTCTCTCCCGTAAAGTTGGTTTTAAAAAGTAAGATTGCTTATAACGACTTGAGGAGCTCTCTGCGGATACAGCAGAAATGAATTGGGGTTCAGGAGTTCTGTCAACAGCCTGTAGCTGCGTGTATCAAGATAATCTTATTGGACTGACATAGTTATGCCTCTGACTTGAGATATGTAGTGCTTCTGGTGACAAATCTCTTTGCTAGAGATTTATCTTCCCAACTCTGTGACAATTGGCAGGGGAGCACCTCAGCAGATGCATTCTTTATCTGCTGCCTGTGTGTGGCTGAAGGACTGACAGTGATGCATAATTTAGCGCACGTTGAAACATGCTGTGCTCCTTCTCTGGCTCGGCTGTCCGATCACATCCATTTTCCATTTGGAGCAGATGTTTGCAGGCGCTGCTTTCTTGATGAGCCAGCTCTGAATTCTTCTTTTATCTTTTTTTTTTTTTTCCTCCCCTCTACCCTTTTGTAAATGAGTCATTGCATGAGAGTCTTTTTACCCTCAGTCCCCGTCTTGGCCTTGATGTGCGGGTGCGGCCCTGAGCAGGCTGAGAAGCTCTAGATTGACTACAAGCCATCCCCTTGCCAGGATTAGCCTCTCGCCATTGTTTCTGCCTGTTGAACAGGATTAACAAATCAATGTGTCAGGTAGACTGCAGTCAAGAGACAATGACCCAGTTCTGACACCACTGACCCCCCCACCTCTCTCCGTCTCCTCCCCCTTTTGCCTCACTGAAGCTTTTAATTAAAAAGACTTTGCTTAGCTGGTGCTATGCTCTCCCTTGAGGATGCCTCACAGCTTTGTTTTCATTTTTATTACAGGGAATTCGTGGTGGGAGTGATGGCAAAAATGTAAGGATCTGTTTTCGTGCATACAGAAATGCATGTTGTGCTTGTGGCATTTAAAACACATTTGATAAGCGAATACATCGGCAACACATGCAGCACCCAGGTGTTTTTAAAATGTTTCATGGTAAACCCCACAATGTGAAGGGTATTTGGAGATTATTTCTTGCTCAAATGCACTTGACTTTTGTCATTGGTTTGATGTAAAACATGAAGCACTGAAGTGGTTACAGTGTGGAGGGAGCTTTGTTGCAGAAACTAGATGAGCAAGCTTGACTCACTGCAAGGTGATTCAGTCATCATAATGCAGTGAGGACAACAATCTGACTGCTGCAGTAATGGCAACCTATACAGCTGCAAAGCTGCTCCCACAGAGGTGTCAGCCTCTTGCCCTTGACTCTGACTTGACCATGCAGTCAGACTGATCAGGTACAAACACAACTCTCTGCTGTTTTTAACACAAGAGGTTCCATTGGTCAGGGGAGTGAGAAGCTGTAGGCGTGTACAATGCGGCCACGTTGTGACGGATTGATGTGAGCTTCATTCACGTGAATTTCCATTGTGTTTTGGCTGCTAACGTAGCCTGCTCTACCTTAGCACCAATTCTACCACAAATGTGTTGGCCTTGATAGGTTAAAAACACACACTAACATCCAGCACTAAACACATGGAATGTCATCATGGTGCGTCAACTGTGGCCCAAATTCAACAGTGAATAGCCATGAATGCTCATGCTAACAGGTAAACAAAAGACTCTTCTTCCTGTGGGTGTCCACGTCCCAATCATTTGCCGGATGATGTCACCATCTGGTGCAGTGAAAGTTGAACTAGATCCAACTTTTGCACGAGATTGCATCATTTTGCTGTGGCCCCCTGCATTGCTGCTGCCGGTGCATGCAATCCTCCATAGAAATGAAGGGAGAGGGCTGCCTTTTCTCACACCTTTTGAAACTCAGCTTGAATGCAGTCTTATCCTCCTCACCAGGAGGCCTGGTGTCTGTATAATTTCTCACTGTTGCATGTTGAAAATGACCCCCTTCTTGCATATGCCTACATATGCTTTTCCCCCCTCTTTTTCTTTTTCAAGTGCCGACAGTTATCCTGATAAGAAACAAAGCATGCAGATCACACATGAAGTTCATAGTACTTCTGAAGTCACTGGAGGACCTCTGACATAGTGGAAGTGACAATTTAACCTAGTGGCAGGGCAGCCTGTCATCTGTCTGAGGCAGATTTGGTCTAATAATTTATATGGTTAAGATTTTAATTTAACTTGGTGTCACATGAATTAAAAAATCATTGCTTTGCTTTTACCTATGTATGTAAAGCAAAAAAGGCATTGAACACTTTGTTCAAATAATTGCTTATAATTTTGTAAAACACATTTTAAGATAACCAAATATTGTTCGTTGTGAGAAAGAGAGTTTGCCGTTTGTCAGAGCTATTGTGAATTTGTCCCATAATCCCAAAACACACCAGCAGTAACAGTTCCTTCTCCTGCATTATTTTTTCATGGTGGTGGTTTCTGTTTTCCTGGAACCAACTGAGGGCATAGCAGGTTGACTAAATTAGGTTGAAACATGTCAATAAAACCTCTGCATGGCAGAGGTTTTAATAAATCTTAAACATTTTGATGACGACAGGCTACATGCCATTCCCTCTTATACACAACTTTAACTGGTGATCATATTTTTCCAGTGTCTCTGTCTCAAGGAATTGGTTTTTATCACTGAACCAGCAGCCTCTGTCACATGAGCTGTGAAAGAATGCACTCTAGAGTTGCATAACAAAATGTCTTGACGATCCATAGCTGTATATATTTACAATGAGGTCCATGTAAACACATTAAACTCCCAGCTTTTTGATGACCAGCTAAAGGAAATGATTATCAAATGGCTAAATTTGATCACTTCTCTGCTCGTTCCTTCCTCTAATCAGTTCATTTGCTGAGCTGATGGGATTTGGACAAAGGGTGAAGGGGCCGGCAACTGTTGACTTAGGCAAATAGGCTTGATTGATCGCTTCCTGTGCCGTGGATAACTCCCACTCTCAGCTGAGTGGAGCATTGAGTTTTACATGGCAAAGCATGGAACTCTCATTTCTCAGTAGTACTGCAAAAACCAGTATCACAATAGGGTTCTTGCAACATACAGTTAATTTACATTTTGTTTTTTTTTTTTTTTAATAAGATAAGTCAGTAATTAGTGGTCAAGGCATTGGTATGAATAATTAACTAATAACTCCTCCCTCTGCTCCTACCTGCAGATAGTTCGCACTAACGCCATGAGTGGGCTTCTCAAGAGGAAGTTTGAGGAGGTGGATGAGGACCCATGCTACTCCTCACCCTCACCTTCATCCCTCTCCTCTGGCTGGGACTCAGAGGTGGAGAGCTGCTACTCAGACACTCTGGATTCCACTCCCAGCAACCCCAGCTCCCCTGCAACAAATGTTAACAGTGAGTATCCTCTTCCATTGATGGTACATTATAGAAAGAGCTGATGGTGCAATCTTTTTATCGTGTTCTCTTGCCTTGTCTTTACTGCTGTACAGAAGTTCTGATAGCAAAACCATAAAACTTGGGTAGAGGTGAAAGAATTTCACCCCATGGAACAGTTCACAGAAGTGATTTCAGGCTTCTCCAGTGAATGCTCTTTTTGATTTAATGCCCTAAAGCTTCAAAATGGCTAATCGCATCATGCAGTGGCTGCTCACCTTGGCTCCATCTCCGCCTTCTTCTCAAGAGTTTGAAGATGACCTCACCTTTCCTTGAGAAATGTGGGTCAAGCGGCATTGCTGTCTGGACTCGTGCATTAGCTGGCCTTTTGGGAACTGTTTGGGTTGAAGAGGGATTGTAGTGTAGGAGAGAATGGCAAGCAGTTGTGCAGTTTCCAGGATGATGGGGCTGGTAGCCAGAAAAAGTAGCATGGCAGGTTGCCAAGGCTGGGAACACACAGAGCCTTGTCTGAAGCTTGGGCATGTACCCAACACAGGTGCTGAAAGAGGCTGGGTGAAAGGATATGAAACGGGGTGTTGGACAAGACAAGAAGGCATTGCAGACACATCTAGAAGAGCAAACTGGGTGGACTATTACAAACTCAATTTGTGTTGAACAGAAACGTGTTTGCCACAGTGAAGTGAAGGGGAAGAAACAGCCAGCAAAGCTGTCCCATTTAGACGCAGTAGAGATATAATTTGTCTCCTGCAGGTGTCGTAAGCCTGACTAGATTTGATGGATGTGAAGCTGAAGCTGGCAGCTTTTCCATTTGTATTACCTCAAGCAGCAGATTAGACTACATAGTAAGACTATTGTGTGCCTTCTACCTGTATTGAGGGCAAGCCTCTCACCCCCCACCGCACAGAC